TGGTGGAATAATTCTAGCGGGAAGCTTTATTCTCACGAACATGAGCCGACCTTCAATGGTTTTTTTTTGAATTATGGCATAATATTGAATAAAAACCACAAAATAAGGGCTATATATAGCGACCAAAATACAGCCCCTCCATCAGCTTCTTTTGAATTCTTTTTTGCTTAGACGGCCTTCTCGTCCAGCTCAGTAACCATTTCAGAATGTATTTTGTCGGCATCTTGTTTGCAATTACCACAGCTGTGAACGCTTTTCCTCAGTCAAATTCCGACTATCCTGACCCCGTTGGCGTAACCATAGATCTATGTAGGTTTTCTGACTAGTAGGCAAAAGTGTTAGTGAGGGGCGGAAGATAAAGTTCGAGTAGATGGAAACCTTTCTTATTTCAGCTACTCCTGCATCCGCTGCTGAAGGACAAGTACCAATCACATTCGGAGGTAAATCAAATAAAAAAAGTTGATGAAAATGGAGTATGTAACTGACTGCATCCGTAGTTGTAAATGATTTCAAATTAAAAAAGAAACTGGTCAGAATGCGTAAAGAAAAATTCTCAGGAGATATCAATCATATCACTAATATGACTAAACCCCAACAGAATTCAGTTTNCCTGCTCTCGAACCTGGATTGGAACTCCCTTCAGATACGCTTCCACCAGAAACATTTGAAGGTAAGATTTTGACGCACTGTACACCGTTTCAGAACGAATTTCGTCGGTGTCTTGTTTGCAATTACCAATGCTGTGAACGCTTTTCCTTAGAGGAATTCCGGCTATCCTGGCCTTGTTAATTTAAATACATTTCCATGTTTCCGATTTCAACTGAGTAACTTGACAATATCCACACCTGTTTACCATTTCAGAAACTTAAGAAGTGTATGCAAATTGTACTGTTTTCAGGTAGCCCCTCTCCGCTCCCCCTTGGGCCAGGTCCTGTTGTAGGGACAGGTATGTTATTCGAGTTAATTTAAAAGTTGAATGAGTAAAAGACTGTATTCGCACCGTCCTGGCTAGATATCCTTCATGTTTCAAAGCCATGCCCTATGCCGAAAAGTACAAGTCCCAGTTCAGTTCAACGGGGGCTAAGACTAGTGATATCGACAGATATTTCATTTTGATCAATTCGTCATAGTGGGTGACTTGATGGAATGCATTTGTAGTCGTACTTGTCCTGAATTTTGAAAAAAATTCAAAATACCTCGCTTATATCACCGGTATCTGTAATATAATGGGTAGATCGAGCCTGCTACTATCTCGAAATTTAAGAAGTGCATATGCAAGTTATGCTTTTTTCAGGAGGCCCCTCTCCGCTCCCTCTTGGACCAGGTCCTGTGATAAATACAGGTATTTCATTCGAGTCTTTTCATAAGGCGAAAGAGTAAGTGGGTGCCTTCTTGGTAGAAATAAGTTCATTCGTAGTGTATGACAGATCGACCCACATATCACTACCTAGATACCTGAGAAGTGCAATGCAAATTGTGCTGTTTTCAGGTAGCCCCGCTCCGCTCCCCCTTGGACCAGGCCCTGTCGTAGGGACGGGTATGTTATCTGAGTTAATTCAAGAGTGGTAGGGAGGAGCCTGTCACTGATATCTTCGCATCGAGCCACCTACCACTACCCAGAAACTTCAGAAGTGCAATTCAAATTGTGCTGTTTTCAGGTGGCCCCTCTCCGCTCCCGCTTGGACCAGGTCCTGTGGTAGGGACAGGCATGTTATTTGAGTTAATTCAAAAGTGGTAGGGAGGGGCCTGTTTTCTCACCTGTCATTGATATCTTTGTATCGAGCCACCTACCACTACCCAGAAACTTCAGAAGTGCCATTCAAATTGTGCTGTTTTC